TGAAATAATTGGTTGTACATTTTCGAGTAAGCACATAGATTTGATCTCTTGCTTCAAAGAGAGGTTTTTTGTTTACCCATTGCATCTTGGTACATAGGTAAAAATTAAGATAACATTGTTGATGTTTTCAGGCAATTTTTCTGGCCCCAAGTGCTTATATATACGTGAGGAGAACAATGTCGGATGATGCTGGACAAATGTTGCTCATCTATGATGATCCGTCAGATCATCGATCTCTGTCTTTGGATGATGCCAGTAGTACTGAGGAATCTCCAGATGGGACTACCCTCTCTTTAGAAGCAGTTAACGATGTCATTCCGTATATCGGACAAAGTTTCCTTACACATGATGCTGCTTACGAGTTCTATAGTACATTTGCAAAGCGTTGCGGGTTCTCAATACGTCGTCACAGGACAGAAGGAAAAGACGGAGTTGGCAAAGGACTTACCAGGCGGTACTTTGTTTGCCATCGTGCTGGTAACACACCTGTCAAAACTCCTAATGAAGGAAAACCACAGAGAAACAGAAGGTCTTCGCGATGTGGGTGTCTAGCGTACTTGAGGATTAGTAAAATTCCTGAGTTTGGTTCAATGGAATGGCGTGTTACGGGTTTTGCTAATCACCACAATCACGAACTCCTAGAACCGAATCAAGTTCGTTTCCTTCCTGCATACAGGGCCATATCAGATGCAGATAAAAGTCGGATTTTGATGTTTTCAAAGACTGGAATTTCAGTTCAGCAGATGATGAGGCTCATGGAGCTTGAGAAGTGTGTCGAGCCAGGGTTCTTACCATTCACCGAAAAGGATGTCAGGAACTTGCTTCAATCATTCAAGAAACTAGATCCGGAGGAGGAGAACATTGATTTCTTGAGGATGTGCCAAAGCATAAAGGAGAAAGACCCTAACTTTAAGTTTGAGTTTACATTAGATGCAAATGATAAGTTAGAAAATATTGCCTGGTCATACGCTTCTTCCATTCAGTCATATGAAATCTTTGGAGATGCTGTAGTTTTCGATACAACACATCGCTTAAGTGCAGTTGAGATGCCACTTGGAATATGGGTTGGAGTTAATAACTACGGTGTGCCTTGCTTCTTCAGTTGTGTGCTTCTACGGGATGAAAATTTGAGATCGTGGTCATGGGCACTACAGGTAACATAATGGCACACTAAATTAATAAGCTCCATTTTACATAGAGGTTTATATAGAAGCTCCTATATCGAAAAAGCAAATCAAATTTGTTTCTACTCTGACTTTCTTTTATCTTTGTATCATATGGAAGGCATTCTTAGGGTTTATGAATGGGAAGGCGCCTCAAACGATATTAACAGACCATAATATGTGTCTGAAAGAAGCCATAGCTGGAGAGATGCCAACCACTAAGCATGCACTCTGCATATGGATGATTGTTGGAAAGTTTCCATCCTGGTTTAATGCTGGTCTTGGTGAACGTTACAACGACTGGAAGGCTGAGTTCTATCGCCTCTACCATCTGGAATCTGTTGAGGAGTTCGAGTTGGGTTGGAGAGACATGGTGAACTCTTTTGGACTGCACACAAACAGACATATAAATAACCTGTATGTCTCACGTTCCTTGTGGTCTTTACCATACCTGAGAAGCCATTTTTTTGCTGGAATGACTTTGACTGGCCGATCCAAAGCCATTAACGCGTTTATCCAAAGGTTCTTGAGCGCACAAACCCGGCTAGCTCACTTTGTAGAACAAGTATGTTTTCTGTTTCTTCTGACATTGTTTTATTTATTGCTGGTCTGATTGAAATCTTTGACTTTCTGAATTGGAACTGAATATGTTACTCAACAGTAAGAAGAAGGATACAGATAGTAAAGTGAGATATTTCAAGCTCTTAGGCCTTCTATTCATTATTGGTGCAACCATTTATTCCACAGGGTTTATTGCATTTTATCTGATGAAATGGTATTTTCCGAGTATTGAGTTTGTTATGTTGCTTATTTGAGTTGTGGGTGGATATGCAGGTGGCTGTTGCTGTGGATTTCAAAGACCATGCTGCAGAACAGCAAACAATGCAACAGAATCTCCAAAATATTAGCCTAAAAACCGGCGCCCCCATGGAATCTCACGCAGCGTCGGTCCTCACTCCTTTCGCATTCTCCAAGCTCCAAGAACAGTTTGTGCTTGCAGCTCACTATGCATCGTTCCAGATGGATGATGGGTACCTCGTGAGGCACCACACAAAACTGGATGGAGGAAGAAAAGTGTATTGGGTTCCTCAAGAAGGCATCATAAGCTGCAGCTGCCAACTGTTTGAGTTCTCTGGGTTTCTCTGCAGGCACGCGCTCCGTGTTCTCTCAACCGGAAACTGTTTCCAGGTCCCGGACAGGTATCTTCCTCTGAGGTGGCGCAGGATCAGTACGTCTTTTAGCAAGACTTTCAGAAGTAACGCTGATGATCACGGAGACAGAGTTCAGTTTCTGCAGAATCTGGTTTCTACACTAGTCTCTGAATCGTCCAAATCAAAAGAGAGGCTAGAGATGGCAACCGAGCAAACCTCCATCCTCTTATCCCGCATCAAAGAGCAGCCTATCTCTTCACTTGCTCTCCGAGACATTTCTTCACTGCAGAGGAATATTTAATATCGCAATGAGGATATGTATGTCTAGCGATTGTTAGATAGGATTTAGTTGCGTTAAGTTACCATAGTTGTGACAATGATTTGATCAAGTAAATAAGAAAATGGCTTGAGAGAAAGCTTAGCTAATGTAATGACCGAAATATAGTAATGTTTAGCTATAATCATAGTATTAATTAAGACCCTCTTCTTTAAATGAACCCAAACCAATCTAATTGAGGTTGGCCTGATGTGGAGAAGAGAATCAATTTCCAAAAACCTTTGAATGTTTTTTAAATTTCATTCTAAAATATTTTATATACTATCCAGCCGTGTCGTATCATTTCCTTAAAGAAATTCAAACGTGGGTACAATAAACAACAAAGAAATTGTACAGCTTGTCCAAAAATTTAAGTAACCAAATAATCCCATTTTATAATATCATTTCAACAAAATTTTGTAC